GAATTAGCCTTCAATGGTTTCTCCTTTATCTAAAAGTAATAAGATTATTCAACCTATTTTGGTGACTGAATATAACAATAAAACAGGCTTCTCTGTGTTTTGAATTCACTCACTCACTCATTGTTGTGGAATTGGATCAGACCATTGGGTTTCTGAGGCTGTAAATCACCTGGAAGGAGATTTCTCCTCTTTCAGTCCTGTGGCTGCTGGTGATTCAAACTGTCAGAGAAGATCAGCCTTTGTTTTAATAGAGCAGCTTCCTAAGAACTTTGTCGTCCAAGCTCTCTGGTCCAGCATAAGCAAAATATGTTAGAGAAAATCATGCAAATATGAAGTACAAAGGACATATGGGGCACGTCTGGCTTACTCACGGGCTGTGGGATTTATTCTCTGACACATCTACTTGTGTTTACACTGAGCAGGCCACAGAGATTTGAATTAGGAAAGCTTGACTGGGAAGTCTCTACAGGAGAATATATTTCATGGTTTTACTTTTTTTCACTGGCTCCTCACCTAGAGAAAACAGCTTTGAATTTAAGCAGTAGTTAAGATCTTAATCTCCTAATCTTGGAAGGGCACACAATGTTTTCACCCTGGGGCGCTGCTCCCAGGAGACCAGAAAAGTGACAACTTGTTCTCTTTTGTTTGAAAATAAACATGCCTGACATAAAAAGGCATACAGGGACCAGCTTGTCTCCTTCCTGTCCTCTTTACCAGAGATAATCCCAGGTGCTGGTTTCTTGGAGAAAGTGCAACCAGTGTGCTCCTTAGAGGCAAAAATGGTGAAACTCTGTCTCATCAACTTTGGACATATTGTTGGGAGGCACCAGTCCTTGGAGAGGGGCATCATGCTTGCAAAGATGAAGGCCAGCATACGAGAGGAAGACACTGAACGAGATGAAATGACATAGAGACTAACAATGGGCTTGAGTGTGTTTGAAATGGTGAGGATAGCACAGAACAGGGCAAGGTTCATAGAATCGCTCTGAGTTACAGCCAACTCAACAGCACCTAACAATGACAACGGTTTCCTGTGCATTTTATCTCTGTATATATGAGCACAATCAAATAATATATTCTTTTTCTAATTGTCAATAAGTTAATTCTGATTCATGATGTTCTTCTACATGTTAGAAGAGAATTGTGCTCCAGAGAGTTTTCAATTTCTGATTTTCAGAAGTTTATTTTTAGATATCTCTAGATAGATTAAAACTGACAGCCTTTCAGTTGATAGCCAAGCACTTAACCATTAGTGACATTCAAGAACTCTAAATAAGGAATCCCTATGTGCCTCCCTCACTCTCTTTTTCATTCCACCAATAGTCATTGCTGCCAGAGGCTGGCAAGTCAACTCTGATTCATAGCAACTCTGTGAACAGCAGCTTGGAAACTTGCCAGATCCTGTGCCGGCTTCACAGTCTTAGCCATGCTCAAGCCCAATATTACAGCCACTGTGCCAATCCATCTTTGGTAGAATGATAAAAAGAGCATCTAATACTTCACTCTTTTAGTAAAAAAACCTCCTCATTATTTTTAATAACTGTGTCATATCCACTGTATAGAGAGTTCAAAAACCTATTTAATCATCTCCAGATGTTATCAAGGCTGTACTGAGCAATGCTGCAGTGACTAACATTTAAAATACATTCCTAGAGAGGGGGAGACCAGGCTGCTTGTAGGAGGCAAGGATTCTGAAGCTCCATACTTTTTTCCTTGGAGAGGGACATCATGCTTGGAAGGGTGGAGGGACAATACAAGAGAGGAAAACCCTGGTTGAGATGCATTGACTCAGTGACAAGGGTAATGGGGGTAGGTTTGTAAGAGACAATAAGGTTGGCTCAGGATAGAGCAGGGTTCAGAGCTGTTGTACATAGGGTTATTAAGACTCAACAGCATATAACAACAGCAACAACATGAGGGGAAGAACTGTCTAAAAGGAATATATGATTAGGCCTTATATATATATGACAACAATCTAGAATAAAGGGTGCATTGCAGGGAGGGCTGGGAGATGGAGATGGGGGAAGAAAATGTGCAACAATGGGAAAAAATTAAAACAGTTTTAAAAAAAATACATTGTTCTTACATGTTCTAGAGGATCTTGAAGATAAATTCCTGGAAATAGAACTGCTGGGTCAAAAGTAAAACCCATTATCATGGTGTCTTTCCTGACTCACTGGGATCCCATATGTGAGAGAGTAGAACCCCAAAGAGTTTTCAATTACTGATGTTGAAATATAAACCACCAGGCCTTTCTTCCAAGGTGCCTGTGGACAGATTTGAACCTCCAACCTTCCAGCTAGCAGCTAAACAGAGTTTATAGGTTTCCCTACCCAGAGATCTCGGTGTCAAAGTTAAGTATATCTGTAATGTCGATAGATCTGTGAGTGTGCCCACAGCATTGGTTGTATGAGTTGACACTCTCTCAGCAATTAGATGATGGTCTGATCATCTCATAGACATAGTCACACAGCTGTTTTAAAACACTGAGAATTTGCAAGATAGATAACAAAATGCCTTGTGTTGTCACTTAAATGTGCTTATTGCCTCTTGTTAGAGATGCCTTTGATGCTCTTTCAACTCTCAGTAGCTCCTTTGGATGTGGACCTGTCTCATGAGGTTTTCTTTGCTGTGATTGTTGTGGAGGCTGATCATCACACCTTTCTTCATTGGAATCCGGGGGTGGCCTCAAACTGCCAACCTTTTGCTTAGCAGTGGAACACTCACTAAGGTGTTTGGGCTATTAGGGCCCCATGCATTTTTCTTAGAGTGAGGGAAATTGAGAAGGTTTTTGTTTTGTTTTGCTTTGTTTTCAATGTTCTAGGTCCAATTATTTATCTATGACAGGTTGCAAATCTATACAGGTTATCTATACAGGTTGCAAATTTCTTAACCGACTTTTAAAACTTTTCTTGTTGAACTGAAAGATATTAAAAAGTATAACATAGATTGCAATATTTTCCAATTTTTCATTTGTCTTTCTTATAGTATTTTTTATCAAGTAATCACTTTAAAATTTTTTATGTAATTACATTTAACAATATGTCTTTTTGAAGTTTTTGGGAGGGTATGGTTTGTGGTTTTTTTTTTTGTTGTGAAAAAAGAAAAAATCTGCTATGTATTTTCTAGTACATTTAATTTTTTAACTATTGAATTATATTTATCTGGGCTTTCAGGGAGCATAAAGTGAGAAATATGTAAGGACCTAACACGATATATTTCTAATAAAAAATCCATCTTTTCTGTCCCAATTCCAGGTTTATTGATGGAGTTTTATTCCATTTATAGATCTGCTTTGCCAGTACCACATTGTTTTAGGTATTATAGTTTTTTTGAGAAGGGTTTTAGAAAGCACTATTTCTTCTGAGGACCCTGGCTGATGCAAACGGTTAAGCTAACCAAAAGGCTGGTGATGGTTCAAAACTATCCAGAGGCTATGCAGTAGAAAGAAATGGCGTTATCTTCCCATAAAGTTTATTATTGATGCAGTTATGTGATGTAGTCACTTTCAATTCATAGCATCCTTGTGTTCAAGATAAGGAAACACTGCTTAGGTGGACTAGTGGTAAGAATTTGTGTTACATTTCCAAAGGCATGAAGTTCAAACGTACCAGCTGTTCTGAGGGAGGAGGATGGGGAATCTCTTTCTGTGTGATTACTGCCTCTGAAAACTTGCTGGAGGGTCAGCTCTGACTCAGTGGCACACAACAACAACAACAAACTATCCTTATGCTTTCTGCTGTGGATGAGCTCACTCGTGGAGCCACTGTCAGTCTATCTTGCTGAGGATCTTATTGTTTCCCGTGATCCTTTGCTTTACCAACTTGGTGGCCTTCTCCAGCGATTAGCAAATCCTGATAACAAAGGAGCCCTGTTAGTACCATGCTGCTAACCAAAGGTGGTGCTGGTTGTTGTTGTTTATCAACTGGTGTACTTTACTTGTGTACCAACTGATGTACTTGTGTACCAAGCTGGTGTACTTGTGTACCAACTGGTGTACTTGTGTACCGGCTGGTGGTCTCAAACCCAGTGCCTTTGGGATTGCAGCACAGCTTCTTGCCACTAGGCCACCAGAACTCCTATAACTCAAAGGTAGTCAGTTGGAATCCATTAGCTGCTCTGAGAGAGAAAGGTAGACAGTCTCTTCCTATGCAATTTACAGCCTCTAGAAAACTGCTTAAGGGTCAACTATGAGTTGGTTTTGACTCAATGGCAATGAGTTTGTGTTTTGAGTCACTCTGAGGGAGAAAGATAGGTAATTTCTTTCTCTAAAGAATTACCTGAGAAATGCAGTAAAGCCCATAAAAACACAATTAAGTGGTGCAGTGGTGGATAAAATGCTTGAAGTATATGAGATGAAGTCTTGCCATCTTTGCAGTGGAAAACCCATGGATGGTTGCTAGGGATGGTAAGGGAAGAGGGGAGTAAAAATTAATAAATAGAAAAGTTGAGTGAAGAGAAAGGAAATATATGATAAAGAGTTGATCGGATATTATAATTAATGAATTACATTAATCAGTTGTGATTAATGTTATAAAGCAAAATGCATATGAATGATTAAATGAGAAACTCAAATGGTTTGTAAACTATCACTCAAATCACAATATAGGTTTTTTTTAAAAAAAACCCACCACAACAAAGACAAACCCTATGGGTGAGTTTTCCTTTGTTATGTGAGGTGGCTGTGATTAGACATTGATTCAACAGCATGATGATGCATCTACTAGTCAAGAGTTTGATGTTTTGAACTCTTTGATTTTTAAAGTCTATTGCTGTAGATATTATTAGATTCCTGGTATTCCACAGAGTCCCCATAAGCAATCTCCTATATCCCACTGATGTGAGGAACACTCTCCCTTGAGCTTGGCTGGGCAGCTCTCAGTTCAAGATAGAGGGACTCATATGGACCTTTTTGTTTCTCAGTGACCAAGTGGACTCCAAAGGGGGACTCCAACCAGACCCAGGCCATCAGTGTCACATGGCACCTGCTGAGGGACCACATGACAGCCCAGAATGACACCAACTCCACCAGAGCCCTGAAACTCCCAGATGGAATGAGCGCTGCCTGGTACATCCTCACCATCATCGGCATCTATGGGGTCATTTTCCTCTTCCGACTGGCCAGCAACATCCTCAGAAAGAATGATAAGTCTTTGGAAGATATTTATTACTCAAACTTGACCTCTGAACTAAAAAACAGAGGAAGCCAGAGCAAGATAATCAAGTGCTCTACGCTGACCAGTAGTGACCATGCCATCCTGGAACCCAAGCCAACTGTTCCAGGGCCAATGTGTGTAAATAATGGGTCCCCAACTGGAAGCCAAGGAATCCCTTAAAAATCAAGACAAGCTGGCTCCACTGGGGAAGACCCAACTCCTTGGAATGGAGTTTCTTTGTTTATGTGGAACCTCAGGGTGAGGCTATGTCCTTGAGTGGGACTAATAGAGCACCCCTGAGCTGTGGGCACTTAAGGCCAATGAGGGTATGGCCAAAGCCAGCATCTTGTTCTTCCTGAGGCTTTGTGGTGCTTTGAGAGCTGAGATCAGGAGTAGCAGCTCCCAGTCACATTCATGCTTCACTGGAAAAGTTTGTGTGCTTCAAAGATGGCCACAGGGCACAGCAGACCAGTCTAGATTCCAGAACTGAGACCTTAGACATATCAGGAGAATTCAGGAGACTCTTGTGAATGTACATGCAAGTCCCCAGGTTCATGGACAGAAAGCTGGACTGGGAACCAAACAACTTGACTAAAACTTCCGGGCAATCATATAAGCATCTAGTTTTCACCTGGAACATATAGAAATTGGGATCAATAGTCTCATTCTAAAGATTCTGACCTTAATTTAGGACAAAAGTTGACAGTATCAAAGTATCAGAAGTGTGGCAGGATTTTTTTTTCTTCTTTTCATGGAGTAGCCTAATGAAAAAAACATTAACTTTGAAGGCATAAGAACCAACCTCTAGTCTGAGTTTACCTATCAACAACTTCTGTATCCTTATACACATCACTTCACCTCTGGGGATCTTAGTTTCTGTTATAGGTACAGTGAGAAGGATGGCAGTTCTGCCAGCTGTACAAATTACCTAACACTTAATGAGCTCTTACATATGAACATATTTTGAAAAATAAAATAAATATGTAAATAAGTCTTTTTGTTGTGTGATGACAATTGAATCTCTTGGTGGTGGGTGTTGGTTGATATTGATGGTGTTTGTGGTTGATGGTGATGGTTGTTGTTGTTGTTATGTGCCGTTGAGTCATTTGCGAGTCATAGCAACCCTATGTACAACAGCCCTAAACCCTGCTCTATCCTGTGTCAATCGCACTGCCTCTGACACACCCATCCCGATTACCTCAGTCACTGAATCAATCCACCTCATAGAGGGTCTTCCCCTCCTGCGCTGTCCCTCCACCCTCCCAA